CAAAGCAAAAGAAGGACAAAAAAAAGATGATTACGGGAAACGAATTTTACAACGTGATGTGTGCAATGGCACCACTCTACTTCGCCATGTTTGTAGCCTATGGATCGGTCAAGTGGTGGAAGATCTTCACGGCGGAGCAATGCTCCGGGATTAACCGTTTTGTCTCGGTTTTTGCCGTCCCGATCCTCTCTTTCCACTTCATCTCAAAAAACAACCCTTACAAGATGGACACTATGTTCATCCTCGCCGACACTTTATCCAAAATCATGGTCTTTGTTTTGCTCTCTCTATGGGCTATTCTCTTCAAATCCGGTGGTCTCGATTGGCTCATTACTCTCTTCTCAATTTCAACTCTCCCTAACACTCTCGTTATGGGCATACCTTTGCTTCAAGCCATGTATGGAGACTACACTCAAAACCTCATGGTCCAACTCGTTGTTCTTCAATGCATCATTTGGTACGTTTTTCAAATTTTCTATACCTTATTTACATCCCACTGATTGGTAACCCGCAAAATCGCAGAACATAATGAAAATGCATGATCAGTAAAATTATGCTAAATCACAATCAAATCAAATGAAACTTTGTTTTTACGGTATTTCAATTAATCCGAGCCTATAAGATAATATTTCTTTGGTTAGTTAAATTATTTATAACCTATAAATACTACATGTGCATGTATAGGTATACTCTACTTCTCTTCCTCTTCGAGCTCCGAGCAGCGAGGTTGCTTATCCGAACCGAGTTTCCGGGTCAAGCAGCCGGGTCAATCGCCAAGATCCAAGTTGACGATGACGTCATCTCCTTAGACGGCATGGATCCTCTCCGTACAGAAACTGAAACCGATATCAACGGTCGGATCAGGCTAAGGATCCGACGGTCCGTATCGTCTATACCGGACTCAGGCTTCTCCTCCTCCTTATGCTTAACCCCTCGAGCATCAAATCTTTCCAACGTCGAGATTTTCTCCGTCAACACTCCTAACCGTTTCTTTAACGGAGGAGGAAGCGGTACACTTCAGTTTTATAACGGTAATAACGAGATTATGTTTTGTAACGGAGATTTAGGTGGGTTCGGGTTTACCCGACCCGGATATGGTGTAAGTCCGAGGAGGTTATCGGGTTATGCTTCTTCCGATGCTTACTCGTTGCAACCAACGCCACGTGCCTCAAACTTTAACGAGCTTGACGTTAACGGAACCGGTACACCGGTTTGGATGAAATCTCCGGTCGCCGGGAGAATATTCCGGCACCCTTCGTCGCCGAAGATGATGTGGGAGTCTTCTGGTCAGAGACATGTAGCCAAAGATATCAATGGTACGTATTTTATTTTTTTTGGAAAGATGTGTCGTTTTCGTTTTACGTAAGCACTGACACGACGCCGTTTAGTCATTTTCTTTCAGACCAAAATATTTATTTCCAAAACTATGTTTTATTGGTTGGTTCGACTTCCTTTTTAATTTGATGAATAGAAAAACATTGAGAAACTACAAAAATGCAGCTTTTTCAGATAAAAACTTTGCTTTTGTCTCTTTTATTTTCCAAATCCCCAAAAAGATTAATTAAAA